AAAACAACAAAGAAGAAAGGAAGCGAAGGCCCTTAAACATGTTGAGGTGCCTTTACCATTAAATGTGCCTGTAGAGGTCCATAACACCTATGAACCTCTAGATATAGAGACAAGCCCCTCACAGCCATCTCAGCATAAAGGGACTTCGTCTCGTCCACGTTCTCCTATTGTACCCCCGTGAGTTGCTCACATAATATTATACAATGGAATTGCAGAGGCCTTAGAAACAATTTTAATCATTTACAATTATTATCCCAAGATTTTAAACCATCAGCTTTTAGTTTACAAGAGACATACCTGAAAAGTACAGATAACTTTGATTTTCGTCAGTACAATTTATATCATTCGTTTTCATCCCGAGGTGATAAAGCCACTGGTGGCGCTTCTATTTTAGTGAGGCAGGGTGTTATTCATAGCCCTGTCCCTCTTAAAAGTAATCTTCAGGCTGTTGCTGTCCGTCTTTCTTTACAAATAACCTTCACGCTCTGTTCTTTGTACATTTCTCCATCTTCGGCTCTTCAGCAGTCCGATCTGCAGGATCTATTCGACCAGCTTCCCAAACCCTGTATTATCATGGGTGATCTTAATGGACACAACCCTTTGTGGGGAAGTACCGATACTAACAACAAAGGGAAAATCATCGAAGACTTCATTTCTAATAATAATTTATGCATCTTAAATGATGGATCAGCCACTTATTTACATCCTGGATTTGGAACGTATTCTGCACTTGATCTGTCTCTCACAGATCCAAACATATATAATGAATTTGAATGGTCAGTCCATGAAGACCTGTGTGGAAGTGACCATTTCCCCACAATACTTTCATCTATAAAGCCGCATGATGATCCACCTGGAACACGGTGGAATTTTAATAAGGCCAACTGGCCATTATTTCAGAAACTGTGTACTGACAACTTGATATCGGACTTTTTTAACAATGCTCTATATCCGATTCAATTATTCTCTGATACATTGAAAAATATTGCTGATGAACCTATTGCTGATGACAAAGGTCTCAGGCTTTGTCTTGGGTCTTTTAGAACTTCTCCTGTTGACAGTCTCTACGTCGGGTCTCTTACCCAAAGACGTATAAAATTATCCTTACAGTATATAACAAAACTACATTCTAACGTGTCTAATCCTGCATTTAACTGTGTTGTCAATCCTCTTTATGAGGATCTGTACAACCAAAAGTCTTCTCTTCCACCTGTGGGTCTAAGAGTCAAACCTTTACTTTTTGCTGCTGGCATTGAGCTGGACAATATATCTCCTTCCCGTCTTCTTTCTTCTCCTCCTTGGCAATTAGTGAGGCCACACGTTGACCTAACACTGACAAAGTTTAAATAATCAGAAACTAATGACTTACAATATAAACAAGAATATAATCTACTAAAGAGTCCATATAATACACATAAATCCTTATTTACAGATGGGTCCAAAGATGGTGGCGCAGTAGCTTGTGCCACTGTCATGGATCCAGAACAATATCTTCTCGACTACCAAATAATAGCTCTATTTTCACAGCAGAAGCTAACGCCATATTAACAGCTCTTAATTATATTAAAAAAACACCGTAAATATAAACAATACATACTCTTTTCCGATGCTCTTTCGTGTCTTCAGGCTATTAAAAATCTTTCTTGTAAACATCCACTTTTATTAGAAATTATTGACATCGTCTTTTGTTGGTTATATAAACAATACATCATCTGCTGATTCTCTTTCGTGTCTTCAGGCTATTACAAATCTTTCTTGTAAACATCCACTTTTATTAGAAATTATTGAATTGTATAATGAGCTTGCTACTTGTCAATGCGACATCGTCTTTTGTTGGTTACCCAACCATGTTGGCATTTCTGGGAATACAATGGTTGATCTTGCTGCCAAGGCAGCACTTAATAAATCTGTGACACCACTTCTTATTCCATACTCTGATTACAAAGCTAGCATCCGAACCTACATCCGTCATCTGATGCAAAAGAAGTAGGTATTAACAAATTACATGAAATAAAACCTTATATTGGTTACACCTACTTGGGTTGTCAGTCCAGATTTGAAGAGGTCATCATGCGACGATGTCGTATTGGCCACACAAGATATACTCATGTATATCTATTGAAAGGCGAGGATCCTCCGTTTTGTATCCCTTGTGATGAGAGGGTCACTGTCAAGCATATCCTGCTTGACTGTGTTGCATTCTCCATCATAAGAGATAAATGTTTCAATATCCAAACAGTAAAGGACTTTTTTAATAAAGTTAATTTTCATTTAATCATTGTTTTTTTAAAGAGGTAGCTTTGTTTAATGATATTTTGATATATGTTTTGTAAATAGCTAAAGTTTCATAATTGGTAGTTCAGATTATCAGCTTAGCTTGTTAGTGGCTGTATCCTCAAAGGGGGTTGAAGTAGTGTTAAATTATTGTCCTCCTGAGAGGGTACGTAAGAACCAAAACTTTCAAAGTAAAATTTAAACATACCAAATTTTTTAAACGTAGCATTTTCGGCTAAACTTTCCTACAATCGCCAGTGGCTGAAGGGATGGTTTAAATCCAGCTAGGGTCCATGCAGGTAGCAAAGGCACTGTAAGTCCCCATGGTCCCTAGTAAGGTGATCTATCTTCAGTTGCTGGCGATCTATAGCCCATTTTAACATTGTATTGTCCAAAAATAATTTTCTACTTTTAAAGATGTATGCTAGCTAGTTTTACCTTCGTTGGATATCTGTGTCCCTCCGTGACAGGGTTTTATATATTATATGTATGTATTATAAATTTAGAACTAGTTTCAGTCACGATATGGCTGAAATATTGCCGATGTGACTTTAAATCTTAACTCACTCACTCACTCACTCACTCACTCATATGTGATAATCTAGTCGTTATACTGGCCTTCGCTGACACGTATTTAAAACATGTAGATATATATTTATTCTTAGTACATAACTTTTTGTCGTCACGATATGGCTGGAATATTGCCGTTGTGACGTCCTTCGCTAAAAGATGTTTAAAAAATGTATAAGTATATCTATTCTTAGTACATAACTTTTTGTTGTCACGATATGGCTGAAATATTGCCGTTGTGACGTAAAATTGTAACTCACTCACTCACAAATTTGAAAGTATACAAATGAAAGAATTTTATATGTAATGCTGGACTTTTTCAATGATATATTGTCGATATGTTACAAATACAAAAGTCGGGCATATCTATGCTTCCAGTCTTGCTGATCTATCGTTATGGACAGTTATTGAAATATCTACGCAGCCTAACGCATAGAAACCATAGATATTTTCCAAACGATGTAACAGCATCTTGTTTAAAGCTTTACTCAGTATCATTCGTTCTATATAACTAATCGCATCTGGACCAGACAGTCCAGTGACTAACATCATGAACATCGCTCTACACAACTGGGATACGATGACGTATGTCAACCAAGTCAGCGAGTCTGACCACCCGATTTTTGTAGTCGTCTTTTACAACCTGCAAGGTAGCTGAAGATCTGTTATTATCCGGAACAATATTCGTCAGATGTATTAATGCTGTTTAGTACTGGGCTCATATGTTTGGCTCCCCATGGTCCCTAGTATGGTGATGTACCTTCAGTTGCTGGCGATCTATAGCCAGTTGGGTTTTTTTTATATTTCATTGTCCAAACATTTCTATTTGTTTGAACTTAACATACTAGTTTAAATTTAACTGTGATAGTCGAGGTGTTTTCCTGTCCATTGGCGTCAAGTTTCATAATATACACTTATTCTTTATCAACGTCAAAATTGTTTCAATGGCTGAAACATTGCCGATGTGACGTTAAATATTAACTCACTCACTCACTCACTCACTCATATATTTGGCACTGCTGTGCGACCTTCAGGAAACAAACACTTACATTGATATGAAAATTAGGTGAGTAGAATAGCAGAAATAAACCTACACGTTTCGCGAACACGTGATGTCCCACTTAATTTGACCGATCTATACAGACCATTACAAACATTCCAAATGCTCTTTTGCCTTGTTTGTTTGTTTGTTAATTTATTGGTTTGTTGTGTAACGTCGCCCTCAGCAATATTCCAGCTATATTGCGGCGGTCTGTAAATAATCGACTCTGGACCAGACAATCCAGTGATCAACAGCATGGACATCAATCTACGCAATTGAAATACGGTGACATATGTCAACCAAGTCAGCGAGCCAGACCACCCAATCCCGTTAGTCGCCTCTTACGACAAGCAGCATTAGTTTCTAACCCTGATCCTCACGGGTCGGGAATTAAGGGTGTCTGTTTGTTTGTATAAAATGTACAATGTAAATGTAAAATGTCTTGTGACAAGCATGGCGTTTTGCTTGGGACGCCAAATGTAACCTCTTTCGGCAGATAATCGACATTGTTTCCGCATTAAAAGTGTATGTTTCAATGCTATTTGACACAAACAAAATGTAAAGAAACAAGAGTGAGTGAGGGAGTGGGTGAGTGAGTATGGTTTTACGTCGCTTTTAGCAATATTCCAGCAATATCACGGCGGGTGACAACATAAATGGGCTTCACACATTGTACCCAAAGGAAACAAGAACACATTCCGAAAGGTGTGGGTTTTAAGCGGCGATGTTTTACATTAGCTATGGCATTTCCTCTAACAATGTTGATGCATGGTCGCTGCATTTGTCACCAGAACAAAATAGGATCTTCAAACAAACAAAAATTGCTGAAAGGTTTATTTCTATTTTCGTCATGGGGAGTGTATTGGTTTACACCTCAGTCATCAATATCATACCTGTGTCTTACACTATTACAGCAAAATAATTTAGTAAAGATTGGACAAATCAGTGGTTGAAATCATGTGCAATATTTCAACATGATGCGACGGATTACAGATTAACACCAGCTTATAATGATCATATTAACTAATCATACCATACCTGCAATGGTATTCACACGCAATGTTTACTAAGCTACACTGTCCGAAACATAAAATATGTTTCTTTCCTTTTTAAGGTCAAGCCTCTACTAATCTTGCCTTGAGGAAACCAACGGCAGAAAGCAGCTTCTACGGTGTCAACTCAAGTGGAGCAGTAGACGGCAACAACGATCCGGGCTGGGGCTCCATGTCCTGCTTTCAAGCCAAGGCTAGTGATTCAGGCCCTTGGTGGCAAGTTGATCTACTTGGCTACTATGCCATCACAACAGTAGTGGCCACAGCACGTACTGGTGGTTGTTGCGGTGAGTCGAAAGATAGGTTTGGTACATTTCTGATTTATTCACACGCATAGTAATGTAACGAGAATATTAACCGAAGTAACGAGAAATGACGTTCGAGAAAATAATTGAAACAACTAGCAAATTCGAGACAACGACAAATTGATCGAATTTCGCTGAAGTGGTTGGTTGGTTTGTTGCTATTGAGGAATCAATAGCGTTGCCGTTCACAAAAAAACATATACAAAAAATAAAAGTTTAATATCCAAGGGAATATTTTGTTAGAAAAGCTTAGAACAGACGTTCAGCTTCAGGCAGTGTAAACATGAGGTAAGTTAAAAAGCGAGAGAAGTCAATATCGGTGCGATTCACAAACATATTTTCTAGTTTAGTTTTTACTCAATCACTCTTCGGTCAGGGGAGATTACTTACAAACTACCATGATCTATCTGTTCTCCCATTTGTTTTCAGATACACGTCTTCATGACTTCTATGTGGAAGTGTTCGACTTTAATCCCATCCAGTTTCCGTCCCAGCAGGCTCGACTATGCTTGTTTCACGAGGGCGTGGTCCTTGCAGGCGCACCAGTGACTCTGCCTTGTACCACGGTGTTCACGGGACGTTATGTCAAACTAAGACGTAAATTCAAGGGTCCCGGGGACGACAGATTTACAATTTGCGAACTCGAAGTGTACGGGCCGGACTCATGCATTACAAGTACGTCCGTTGCTATATATCCATGCATAAATCAATAGATAAATAGAAGCATGTTGCGGGGTAACATATTGATACGTTCATGCATAACGAGTAGGTTGTTGGTATATTCCTGCACAAGAAGTATAGACGTTGCTTATCCATGCATAACAAGTGTGGTTGTCGTTACATTCATGCGTGAGATGTCGTCACGATATGACTGAAATATTGCCTATGTGACGTAAAACTTTTACTCACTCACTCATGCGTGAGAAGTGGGATTGTTGATATATTCATGCATAAGAAGTATAGGTGGTGATATATTCATGCATAACACGTAGGGTTGTTGGTATATTCATCCTAAAACAACATGCTGGATGTTGCCATATCTATGCATAACAGACATAGCTGTTGGTACATCCACGCCAAACATGCAGGTTTTTGGTATATTCATGCAAGCAAGCATTGTCATGCGTACACAATCAAGATTCAAGTAGGTCACATCCTCTGTATGAGTGAGTGAGTGAGTGAGTTTAATTTTACGCCGCTTTTAGCAATATTCCAGCAATATCAATGCAGGGGCTCCAGAAATGGGCTTCACACATTGTACCCATGTGGCGAATCGAACCCGGGTCTTCGGCGTGAAGAGCGAACGCTTTAACCTCTAGGCTACCACGCCGCCCCAGTATATGAATGAACAATAAAAGGTGAGGTGAAATTGGGTTTAACGTCGTGCTTGAGAATATTTCGCTCATATGACGACGTGCATGCGTGTGTATGTGTCTGTGCGGCTGCTTGTACTAGCCCAGACTTTACCTGGTTTTATAGTGCTAGCCCACTGAGATAGCATGCCGCAGTGAAGCATGAATACCCCACTCAGACACATTATACTGATTCAAGCCGACCAGTCTTTGTTGTACCCATTAATGCCGAGCGCCAGACAGGGACCAACAAGTACCATATTTTAACGTCTTTTAGTATGACGCGGTCGGGGATCGAACCCGCGACCTTCCGCTCTCCGGGCGGACGCTCTAACCACTACACCACGGAGGCGGTAATGAACAATAAGAACGACAAGAACATGTGTTTATGGATCACTATCAATTAGTGGTGATCCCAAGTGAGACTGAGTGAGTGAGTTTTACGCCGCACTCAGCAATATTCCAGCTATATGGTGGCGGTCTGTAAATAATCGAGTCTGGACCACACAATCCAGTGATCAAAAGCATGAGCATTGATCTGCGCAATTGGGATACGATGACATGCGTCAACCAAGTCAGCGAGCCTGACCACCCGATCCTGTTAGTCGCCTCTTACGACAAGCATAGTCGCCTTTTGTGGCAAGCATGGGTTGTTCTACCCCGGATCTTCACGGGTCCCAGGTGATCCTGCCCTGCCCTACAGGTGGCATGTCTTTACCTCGACACTCACGTTCAAGTCCAAATAGGGAAACATCATTTGGTCAGAGGTCTACCGGAATCGTCTTTCAAAATGGCCACAGTGTTTCGGTTCCATGCGGAACGATGTGATATGAACCTGTTGACTAGAGCGTTAAACAACATTCACTCACTCGTTCCTTGTTTTTCTTCAGGCAGCAGTTATCGGCGAACACCAAACAAAAAGATGGCCTCAAGCAACATTATCACGCCCTTACTTGGAGCGACTGTTGAACGGTGTGCCCTCTTATGTACAGAGGATTACGACTGTTACAACTTCAACTTCAACCGTCAAAGTAACGTCAACCCTTGCGAGATAATCCACGATGGATCTACAGTTGCCGACAATGGAGACTGGGATCACTATTCTCTTCTGATGTAATTGAGGCCCCGTGACCTGGGACGCTACTATTTGTAATTGTTACCTCCCTTGGACGTGTCAGGATCCACTGGTATTGGGTTTTAATTCCAGTTGTGGCTGTATTATAATCCTTGGTCAGTGAGTACTCTGTCACCAGTTACCAAAGGTGACTTTGCCAAGTGATCATACAGAGCATTTGAATTATTGAATTGCTGTTTACATTTTTTAGATAAGGACGTTGCTGTTTTCAATGTAGAGCACGGTGAGCCTGAAGCAAACAAATTAAATTTACGCAGCAATAAAGTGTGCATCCCTGATGAAAATTAACATTAGGTTTAGTTCTATACCACTCGTCACACCTGCCATTCTGACGTCATGGATTGATACGAACGGCGCCATTTCCAAGATGTCTCTTGTCACTAAATCATATTTAGTAGCATATGCTTGTACGATTGTGCATGTCACTGTTTCAAAGTGGCTGCGGACAATGATTGCAAAAGAGGTATTAATATATTAGTTGTGTGTTTTAGCAATGAGCTTTCCTTTAGACCCCCGAAACACGGTCGACACTCAAGACAGTCTAAAACAGACATATGGTTATTGAGCATGCTGTAAGCGTGGAGATGAGCGCATTATAAATATAGTATTATATTTATTATTAACATATTATATTACAATCGGCGCGTAGCAAGCCAACTTTTTCGTGTAAGCCCGAGTTTAGATCGTATTGAGGGTCTGCCAAACCTTTTTAGCAACAGCATGTGTAAGCCCGGGCTTTTTTATATAATGGTAGCTACGGCCCCAGTTGTGTGTGCAACATGAAGTTAACGGTATGTAACAAGATGTCAGAGTTCTATTTTACCGCTTGTTCAGCTTGACCTGAGCTAGTCTACATACGCATGACCCGGGAGGTCAAATGGCACAAACGGCTGGTCGAGTTGACTTCATTTAACAGGGGAGCAGAGAATGTTATTAATGTTGCGTTCGTGGGAAACATGCACACGTGGATTCGTTATAGCGCGATTCGGAAACATTTAACCATCTGTAGCTTCTTTTTTAAAGAAAGTTAGGACATGACTGACGATTTTTCGACACAGAGATGTCAAACGGCGACCTTGTCTCGGCTGTTCGACCATGTTGACAGTCAACTGACAAAGGTGCACCCCTTCACAATAATAGACCAAACCAGTTGTGACACGGTCACGCAATGCATTAGCATTCACTTGATCAGGTCAAGCTGAACAAGCTGTGAGGTGAGGTGAAATTGGGTTTAACGCCGTACTTGAGAATATTTCGCTCATATGACGACGTGCATGCGTGTGTATGTGTATGTGCGGCTGCTTGTACTAGCCCAGACTGAAGCTGGTTTTATAGTGCTAGCCCACTGAGATACCATGCCGCAGTGAAGCATGAATATCCCACTCAGACACATTATACTGACTCCGAGCCGACCAGTCCTTGTTGTACCCATTAATGCCGAGCGCCAGACAGGGACAACGGTCGGGGATCGAACCCGCGACCTTCCGCTCTCCGGGCGGAGAACCAACTGTAGCAACATGTATGGGTATGTTGTACGGGTCGAGGACGATCAGGTGACTAGGGTTACTTGTGATTACATTTCACAGCACGCTTATCGTTACTCACAATGTCAGATTCGATTATTTACAGACCGCGACCAATGAATGGAATACTATAGAGAGTGGTTTTACACAACGAAAGTCAAAACAAAACTTGTAAGAATATATAGTTTAGTTAAACATATAGAAGTGTTTGTTTCATACCATATGACCAGATAACTGCAACCTATAGACAATGAGCAAGGTTATCCAATTGTTTGGGCTGGGTAACCTGTAGTCTAGCAACTAGTCTCTGAAATGAACATATTTTACTGAAAAAAAGTTCATAGAAAAAAAATATATATATAATGAAAAGGAGCCCTGAGACTTTCTTCATTTTCTGAAGCTGAGGAAATCTAGACTTGCCACATTTTCTAGACTTTCGTGGGCTTTCTTTGATATATTTACTTCAGGGTCTGTATGACAGACTCTTACCCTGAACAATCGATGTAAAACTGAAATGGTTTTCGGAAAATACGTGAACACCATCATCTTACCCTTGCTCTTTGTACAGCTATTTTATGTATGTCTGCTGTAGCTATTAACTAAATAGTATTATTGTAAAACTGAATATTCATTGTTTTGTAATATCTTCTTTAATATGATAATTTTCGGTTAGAGTGAGAGAGTATGATTTTACGCCGCTTTTAGCAATATCCAAGCAACATCACAGCGTGGGACTCGAGAAATGGACTTCACACATTGTACTCATGTGGGGAATCGAACCCGGGTCTTCAGCGTGAAGAGCGAACGTTTTAACCTCTAGGCTACCCTGTTTTCGGTTAGACAGCTTCCTTGTAGATTAGTAGAGAGCCTGTCTGAAGAGCGAAAGGTCGGTCCGTGGTTCGATGACATAGTCGCGTCATACCAAACCATAGCGAACGATGGTGCTTGTTTCAACTCCTTCTGGTGCTCGCCTTAAGGGGATGCAACAAGGACGGTGGAATCGACTATAAGTGCAATAAACTAGAAAGGGCCGTTAAAAACCATATCACCAGAACTCACCTCTTTTCTGTACCCATGAAGATCCGGGTTAGAAATGAAACCAATGCTCGTCGTTAAAGACGACTAACGGGATCTGGTGGTCAGGCTCGATGTCTTGGTTGACACATATCATCGTATCCCAATTGTGTAGATCGATGCTTACGTTGTTCATCATGGGTTGTCTGGTCCAGACTCGATTATTTACAAGCCGCCGCCATATAGTTAGAATATTGCTGAGTGCGGCGTTAACAAACCAACCGATCTTTTTCTGTATGTTCATATATAGTATGACCAGAAATTATTGAGAATTGTAGGAATATGTTTAATTGGGTTTTTAGTATAAACAACCTTGACCAGCTATCAAGTGCTTGGTTTCATTCAAGGGAGACACCTCCGTTAATCCTTTTTCATTAGTTTGTGAAGAGTTATCCCCCTTTGTTTACTTGCTAGCAGACGCCATTTTCAGTGATCCTCAGTATGGATGATTGAGAGAAGAGGAAGTTGATTTTAGAGTATTATAACAAGGACATCAGATCAGCTTAAGTGATTTCAAGTAGAACAGGCATCCCTTTGTCCACTGTTTATCGTGTTTTGAAAAATATTGCAAATGGATATGGCATTGAGCACCAGGTAGGCGCAGGTAGGCCCAGAAAATTGACTGTCGGTGACATGAGGCGGATTGGTATTCTTGTTTCTAAAAACAAATGAAGGAGTTTAGAAAACTTAAGGCTGGATATGATTGATAGAGGAACTGTGGAAAGTTTTGTGTTGGTGTTTCCGAATACACTGAAATTCTGGACCAAACAAACTGAAAAACCTTTGTAACAGCGCCCAAAGTACAGTCCGAAATTTAATGTGTAGGTGGCATATCTGTGTTAGGGGCAACGCCCCCAACGCCCCTCTGTGTTTTTGAAGGGAATATGAACAGTGAGCGGTACACATATATTCTCGAGGGACATTTACTTCCATCTGGACCACGACTTTCTAACTTCTTTGATCAGTAGTATGCCCCGCCGCATTGAAGCCTGCATTGCTGCCCATGGTGACTTGACCAAATACTATCTGTTCACCTGTCTTTGAATCTGGAGTTATGTTCTGCTAATATTCACAATAATACGTGATGAGTGAATTGTTTTTTAAAAATTACAATCTTAAATTCTCAATAATTTCTGGTTGTACTGTATAGCTCCATATTACAAATAGAATGTTCACATATCAATTACGAACCTATATCATTCTTCATATACATGTATAGATTCGTTTACAGGACACGTTTTTGGTCAAAGCCATTCTAATTCTAATAAAACCACAAAATGAATGGATTGCTCTCATCCTTACATAGCTTTATATGATGTAAGAGGTGGCACCCGCCGCACCCGTAATGCTGCTGAAATTTCGGCGTCGGACAAACACATACTCATGATGTAGTCGTCCTCTGTATAGGGTACGTAAGACCACAGCATTCAATATAGATTTGTCATTGCCAGACTTTTAATCGTAAAATTTGTGTTATCATAATTTATGTCTAGATTGTCTAAACTTGCTAACATCTGAAGGGATGGTGTAAATCCAACAAGGGTCCATGCAGGAAGCAAACGTACTGTAAGTCCCCATGGTCCTTAGTATGGTGATCTACCTTCAGCTGTTGGCATTTTAATATTGTAATGTCTTTTGTAGTTAAAATATTTTAAATTAACTTACTAGTTTCTATTCATATTTGTGATAATCTAGTCGTTTTACTATCCTTTGACAGGCTTTTTATAATTTGTTTTAGTCACGATATGGCTGAAATATGTGTTTTTCGCTGTTTTTAACAATGTTTCATTTCACTCAACGAATATTGAATCAGTTGCTTCCCTGCAAGTTCCAACATGTAAAGTGCCCATTAAGCACACAAAAAATTGCATCAACCTTAGAGTATAAATGACCTCACCACGTTTACGTTTATCTATGACCATCAAATTTTTAGGGTGTTCCCATACTTTTTGTTTGTAGTATATTACAGAAGTGATGGGATAGGCCATGTGGCTACTGATCACAAGGCGGGTCTAGAAATCCAAATGGGTGTTAATTACCCAGACATGGAGTCACAGTAACAGCAAACCATACATTTCAGCTCACCGAATTGAATGTAACCTCTAATCTATAACGCGTTATGATTGGAATAGTGAGTGAGTCTACTTTTACGCCACTTTAAGCAATATTCCAGCAATATCACGGCGGGGGACACCAGAAATGAGCTTCACACATTGGACCCATGTGGGGAGTCCAACCCGGCTCTTCGGCGTGACGAGCGATGCTGAAACTACTGGACTACCCCAGACTACGCTTGGAATAGAAAGATAATATAAAACGTCAGTACAAAAGAACAGCCGGTCTTGGCAAGCCTCGGAAACAAATTCCGTTTGGTGTGAAGGGGAAAATAGCAGTGGACATTATATGTGTCAACGCGTGGTATATGGTCGACTGGGGAATTAGCTCATGTTTAAGATGAAGTGTACTTACAATACGTTGACAAGACGAAGGAATACGTTGAGCTCAAACTTCTTTAGTTACATGACAAACAAATACACAAGGCATAAATGAGTTGAGCGGAGTACCTGCTGAACCCCAGGACGTTTCCTACGAGCGGCATTCTCCTGCTCGTGGTCATCCCTACACACAGTCGGAATACCAGACTCGTACTCCTTCACCGTATAGACGTGAGTATACTAAGTATATATACAGTTTTGTACAACAATGGACAGATAGAAAAACAACAGCACTTCCTTGACCAGTTGATGCGATGGCAGACACGGCCAAGGGGGATGACCAATTAGGTTATAAATGTCATATACAGTAATTAATTGCCTGACAAGTCAATGTACAATGCGGAAGTGATAAGGATTGCATAGAATACAGATTAGCATCATATAGATAATTACAATAAAGCCTCACATGTCTTGAGTACATAGTTTTTATTATCTAAATATTTGGATAATGGCTGTCCTGAATTAGTCCCTATAACATATGTATGGATCACTGAAAATCAGTGCTGACACCAGGTGAAAACCGTATGTATACCGGTAGCACCCGTCGTTCACAAATGTCCCTGAAAATGACAGATGTTTTGTCTGACACAGCAGTGCTTCGACCATGCAAAGTGATCAATGGACCGAAAACTCCAGTTAGATGATTTTGAGATTCCGAAGCTTTTGGGAAATAGATTTGTTTAATACATTGGTGTCACTTTTAATGTCTCGGAACAAACCATGGCTGCACCTGTGTGATGTGAGTTTGATGAAGAGCTTGTAATTCCAGTATATACTCAAAGAAACGAATAAGGGAACACACTTGAAAGTACAAGTGTTCTTTAATTTATTTCCAGAATTTCACTCATAGTGCGATACATACCTTGTGAAGAAAACTTGGAAAGAATAAAGGAACAATTGCACTGTCAGGTGTTCTCTTATTCGTTTCCATGAGTATATATAGATAATCTCACCCAAGTGTCTACTGTTATCAATTATATCAACACAAGTTGATAAAGTTACAAATATCCGAGGCTTTTTACT